CACCTACCTGGTCGAGACGCACGACAGCGCCACCTACCTGGTCGAGACGCACGACAGCGCCACCTACCTGGTCGAGACGCACGACAGCGCCACCTACCTGGTCGAGACGCAGCGCTCCATTGTCGATGCGTTTCTGGCGCAGACTGCGGGCGACGGCGCGCAGGTTGAGCACGCACGCCTTGACGTCGTCGATGCCGTGTCCTCCGGTGATGGGCGGCAGTTCGTCGACCGTCCACGTCCGCTCTGGTTCCTCGATGATACCCTGCATCAGAACGAGCGAACGCGCGCGTGGAAATTACTGAACAGTTTTAGGGTTTCGATTAGGGTAATGAACGTAGATCGGAGTCAGGAGTAACAAACGCACGTTGATTTCAGATGTCTGCTAACCGAACAACAACAAAAACCCAGATGCAGGCAATGCTTTATGACTCTATGGCTAGGTGGCAGCACCTGACGGTGGTGGTTAATATGAATTACTGAGTATACCACAACCGGGCGCTAACGACGTTAGCCGTCTGCATTGATTCGTAACCATGACGCGATTACTAACCTATGGCCGAGGAGTGGGGTGGGGGGTGAAATGATTTCACTTGTGTCACCTCGATATGTAGATACCAACTGAGGGTAGATGAGCATAAATACATGTTCTTGTGTCATCTTTATATGTGGTTACCAATTGATGGAAGGGTAGTAGTACCATAGGTAGCAAACAATAGAGGAATTTCGCTGTATAATTTCTTCCTGGTATCACGCAGGGCAGATCGTATGCATCCTATGCATCCTGACTAACCACAGTACACAATTAAGTCTTTTGTTACTTGCAAATTTTAGGCTTTTTCTACTGCGATCCGCAGTGTTGATCTGTCTATTTGATCAACTTTGTCTCTTTCCGTCTTCGATATAGTCCCTTGGACTTTGAAGAGCTAATATTTATGAGGTTATGAGGATCGCTGATCGAAGGCAGACGCGCATCCCCCGAGCATACCTGTGCGTGCTGGTAGGACATTTTCACGCACGACCGTATGATCGTCCTGCCGAACCATTCGTCTATGATCTCGCCCTCCTCCGTGATCGTCCATATCACGGAGAACGTCAGTCGATCTTCGTCCGGGTTCAAACTGCACAGTCGTTCACACAGCAGCCGGGGAAGCATGGGAATGACCTGCAATGTCACCATCCGTCCTCGTTACTCCACTCGCACGATTCCCCTCCTTTTTTTAAACAAAATTACGCGAAACTAAATTACGCGGTACTTGTTCCTGACGGATTTTAGCTTTCAATAAGTGTCACGTACGCCCAGTTTAACATGAGTGTCTTTGCCATCGTGGAAGGCCACGTTTAACACCAATTTAGCTTACTAATATAATTATAAAACGAATTAAATTTATTAAATCCATAATTATTTAACGGATTTAAGCTTTCAATAAGTGTTACGTACGCGCAGTTTAACGACGCGTCTTTGCGATTGTGAAAGCCCCCCCCCTCCCGCCGCCGGCGATGCTCTTACCTTCTGTACTAGATAAACGCTAGTAGCTCTACTGCGGGCTGCCTCATCGAGGGCCGAGTCTTCTTTCAGAAAGTAGCTGACATCTGCGATGTGCACCCCGACCTGCCCAGGCATCGGCAAGCAGTCGAGACATCACGAAAATTTATGTAAATGTAACTGTAAGCCATAATTATATAGTAATAATAATATGTGATAATTTATTACATCAATTATTAATGTGTAAATTATTCATTAATAATGTAATTAGTGTGATTTGAATTAGCCGTGTACAAAGTACAACCCTTTGAAAATTCCCTTTGCTATCCTCTCGGTCACACGCGCGGCGTGAGAGCAAGGATACACGGAGACTCCATGACAGTCGACTTCACGAATGGTTCGAGACGCGCCTCGCGAACCCGTATGACGCACCTCGCGAATGCGTGAGATGCGCCTCGCGAACGCGTAAGATGCGAGGCAGGTGAGATGCGCCTCGCAAATTCGTGAGGAGCTTATCTCGCGAGAAGCTTACCCGATGCAGGCCGTCGCCTAGCGGCACGCAGGATAGAGCGTCATCGAGATCTCGCGCGGTCGCCGGGTCGATCGTGAACACGCACTCGCTCCGAAGGTCCTTCCTCGTGTCGTACTCTTCCTACCGCAGAAAAAAACAAACGCACGAGTCGGGAATGAGACGTGGTCACGTGGAGACGGTCCGCGACTGAAACGTGCGTCGAAACGTGAGGTTTACTCCACTTTGCCCTCCATCACTTTTATTTATTTAGTTTCATTTGTGTTAATTTTACTAGAATTGTTTATTAAAGTGATTACGTCACCGTAAATAATAAAAAATATAAAAAATATTTCCACTTTTTCACAAAATATAAGGGATTCTGTTCACTTTTTATGGTTAAATTGCTGCATTATACTTCCTATTTTACTATATTGTTCGATGTGAACATACACTCGTGACTCATACATAGCCCATAGCAAGCAATTAATGTCAGGAACATAATATCAAATCGTCCAGGTTTTTTGGATATTTAACTTATCTTATCTTATTTATCTTATCAGGTAAGAATTTGATGATACGTTTAGTACCGTTAGTTCTTACTTTTAATGTAAAAAAATGGCAACAAAATTTTTACAAATTTTACCATAGAAAATTCGTGACGTAGTCAGGCTGCCACTACCTGGTGAGACGCAGGCTCCATTAGTTCGATGCGTTTCTGGCGGGAGACTGCGGGGCGACGAAGCGCGCGTTGCCCCCCGCCATGCCCCTGGCGGAGGTAATTAGTAAATTGCGACGGAGTAATGAGTGAGTAGTGAAGTAATGAGTGACCAGTGGAGTAATGCCACGGAATGACGCAGAGAGGATACGTACTGCGAGCACAGGGCGACCGCCTGCTCTAGCGGGGTCTCCGCGGGGGGCGGGTGCCGTCGCAGCACCGCGCGCTCGGGGAACGCCGCGTAGATCCGGTGAGCGACGGCCATGTTTGCGAGGAGCATGAACTCCTCGACGAGGCTGTTGCTGTCTTTCTGCTCGTAGACGGAGTAGCCGTTCGGCAGGCCCGACTCGCGGTCCAACGAGAACTGTATCTTCACCTGAAGCCGAGACAAAACGCCGCCGCCTCACGCACCAATTCTGTCTCACGTCTCGAGAGAGGACGCGCGCGCACGCGGGTGGACAATGGCCGTCCCGCGACGCTCGTCTCAACTTAATAGAACGCACCGTCCGACTGTATCTTCACTTGGAGCAGCCGATGAGAAACGGATGCCGATGTTCGGTCTCGTGTGAGGGGCGCGTGAGATGAAGCACTTCTCTAATCAGCGCGCGCTACTCTAATCAGCGACGGCGTTTGCTACAGTGCCACCTACCTGGTCGAGACGTGCGACAGCGCCACCTACCTGGTCGAGACGCACGACAGCGCCACCTACCTGGTCGAGACGCACGACAGCGCCACCTACCTGGTCGAGACGCACGACAG